TTTAGGCTTTAGGTCAAACTTTAGGGCCCAATAACAAAGGGGATAAGTGGGCTAACATCTTAAAGCCATCCAAATCGTTCGGGTCGGGCCATGAGCAGCACTAATACAATTAGGCTACTTCAAATGGCCCAGTGGGTTACGTGGTTCGATTGGTCCGATTGTGGTGTCAACATATTATTTCAATCATCGGCCGATGCCTATGAAATATTATCCAACTAATATACCGATTTAACATCATAATCCGAATTTATTGGGTATCAAAACCCAACATCCACTTTAATTCTACGAACATAGAAAATCAATATATTTCTCTTTGTTTTACCTGTTTTTTATTATCATTTTTTCTCTCTCTATATGAAAAGATCATTTGTACACTAAAATTCTTAAAAAGGATTTTTTTTCTATTCTTTTTTATGTTTCTTTGAATATTACACATTTTTTAATGAGAATATTAAAATGTTATCATTTTTTTCTATTTTTTAATTTATGTGACTTATATTTTTTATATTCTTTTGAAAAGTATTTTATTGACATAATAAATATAATTTTATTTTTGTATATTGCGGATCATGTAAATAGTAGTTCAAAAGTATGTCCAATAAGTTACTGCAAGATTTTATTTTATTTTTTTAATTTTTTTCAAAATAAAAGTTTATAAAAGTTCAAATAAATCCTATAAAAGTTTTACAAAAACTTTCATTAATTTTGGATATAAAAATTAGTAAAAATTGATTAAACTGTAAAATTTTTTAAAAATCCAAATTGAATAGATCCCTTTTAATTCCCTCAAATCCCGTTATTATTGATTTTGAAATATTCTTTAATTAGCTAATTTCTGCTTCTTGCATTTCCATCTTGTAGCGTTTCATCCCTTCCTCACATTTTTTGGGTGTTTTTTTCAATAATTGTTTATGTGGGCATGCTTCGAATCGGTACATGCAGTTGAAATTTATTTCTTTGGTGCCAGTTCTTTAATTTTCTTGAATTTCATTGTCCCTTTATCTTATTTTCTTGTATGGTTCAAATCTTTGATTTTTGTTTTGCTGAATTCTTACAACATTTTCACTCCATCAGGTGGATCTGATCTATGAAGTCAAGTTATTCATTCGGGTCTAGTAATAGTCCCAAATCCTTCCAGGCCTATCCAAGGGGTGATTTTGACTTAGAATCTGGAATTGTAAAAAAATCTCGAAAGCCCAAAAAATCTCCCATTAAAATGCTAAGTTCATTAGGAAACAGAATTCAATACTATTACAAGCTTCACCCTCTTATGCTCTTCTTGATTTGCTTGTCACTTGGGATCACAATCCTCATAATATTATATGGAAGCCCTGTTAGAATGATGCCATATTATAGGAAATTAGATACTAATGTGTATAATTATCCGTTTTCGAAGTTCAGGAATCTTGTAATGGTGGCGGGGCATTCCATTTATACGAGCAGTAGTTGTGACAAGGTTGATAAGGAGGATTCATGGTTTTTGGAGTCATATCAGAGGCATCCAGGTCAAGCTGCTACTTTTGTTGCACATATACAGAAAGGGGTGGAGATTGCAGCTGATGATGATGAGGCATTGCTCTTGTTCAGTGGGGGTGAGACGCGGAAGGATGCAGGTCCACGAAGCGAAGCACAGAGTTATTGGGTTGTTGCTGAGTCAAAAGGATGGTTTGGTGAGTGAGTCTCGTGTTTATTTTCTTTCTGAGACGGTTATGTAGAAATGATTTGTTACTGTTGGAATGAATGGAAATGCTTGAACTTGAAGCATTCCGATGTTTGAAAATAGAAAAGTATGATTATCTTGCCTAAATGTGATGTTTTTGGACCAGTCTTGGATATGCTAGCGACATTTCATTTAGTGGCATAGTATTCTTTTCTATCATTATTAGGATCTGAGCTTTCTGGCGTTTTGAGTGAAATTTGGTTTTAGACCTGAGCCTTGTGGATAGCTAGTAAAGAACCTTCTGTTGGTTGATTAAACGTAATTGCCTGTTCATATTTGTAAGTTGCGAGCAATAACAAAATCAAATCAAATTTATAAATGATTTTGTCATGAGATTTTTCCATCAATTAATTTTTTGACCGATTCAGGTGATGTTACATTCTTAACACGTCTTTAACTTCTCGAAGTACCTGCAGTTTAAGATCTATTGGGATCCTTTGCTCCACTTCTTTTTCTATTTAGTTCTCTGAATTTTTTTCTAGCTTTCTCAGAAATCATTATGCAAATATGTGAACAAGCAGTAGTGGGATTGCTCAAATGTGTGAATAAGCATTTCCCAGGTTTAGTCCAAAACTATATACTACTGGCTGAGCAAAGGATAATGAGATGAAACCTAGCTACATATTTTTAATTTTAGAAATCACACATTTTATCATACTCTGACCAAAATGAATGTAAACTTTTGTATGGTTATTGGTTATGTCCTCGTTTTGTAGCTTGCTTAAATCAGCTGAGATTTCGAGGCTAGTAGTGGTGCTTATGCAGTTAACGTGTTGTATTTCTTCCTGCAAAATTTCAATTTTTTACAGTGGAGATAAACTTGATTATAATGATGACATTCTGCTTATAGAACCTTCATCGCTAATGCTTTGTATTTGTATTGCTTGAAGTTGCCTAGGAGTACAACATATTTGATACCAGTAAATACTATATATCATGAATACTTCATTCATATTGGACCATCGTGTTAGAGACCTCATGTCCACCCGAGGGATGAGATAAGATGCGTCATATCTCATATGGCAAGTAATGTGAACTGAAAGAACCCAAGTAACCAGGCTTAACATGGTTAATGTATTGAAGTTTCTATTTCGTCGCGATTATAGTTTCATAAAGAAGTATTCATTATAACCTGTACCATACTATCTAATCATGTGAAAAGTATTTGTCATACACTGTACCATACTATCTAATCATGTGGGTACAAGTAACTGCTATGTAGACAGGGTTGAAATAATAAATTTCCTTTTGTGATGATGATGGGGATGGGGCTGTTAAATGCAACTACAAGCAAAATGTATATTCATTTAGGAAAAGATTTATCTTTTTTAACAGTTTTTGGGGGCCAGTCTGTGATGCTAGTTTAAGATCCAGCAATATATGGATTTCCTCTTTGAATTTTGCAACCAGAAGGCTTGCCAATTTGACTGGATGATAGTAAATAAGAAAAGTAAAGTGGAGAACTTTCTCAATTTGTACAAGGATTCATGCCATAAGATTTGACATAGTTTCACACAGGTTGTCAACCTCATGCAACCCTCTACCTCTTTTAGGCTCTGAAAAACATGGCCAGGGTTAGATCTAATTGTATTTGCTTGGGATCTAGTTTCTCTAGGTCTTCCAATAGATATAGCAGTGAGTCAAATGGTGCGGCAAAAAATGATTCATGTATCCGACCCCATATTTGTTGGGAACTAGGCTTAGTTTATTGTTGTTTGAGAACTTCTCAATTTAACCCCGTTTGACATCCATTAAAATGAGTTTATTTTGGGGAAAATGAGTTTTGGAATAGTGATTTAAGGAGAATGTGTAGTTAAAAAATAGGAAAACGTTTTGGTTTATGCGCAAAATATTTATTGTGTGAATGTGTGGTTGAAAATGAGTTTGAGAAAAAGGGAGTTTTGATTTAATGGCTTAATATCTATTTTAGTAGCCAAATAATTTCCCTGTCCTTTGTGTTTTTGCTATCTTTTTTCTCATTCGTTAACTCAAAATAATGCAATGATCAGAATGCATTCAAATACTGAAATATTATGAAATTTGGAGCTTCATTTGTAACTTGGGTTATTATTAAGGTCTTTAAGAGATTAATAAAAAGACTGATGCAGAAACCTCTGATAAAGTGATAAAAGTGCCTGATCATTATATGCTATTTAGAGGAAAATGACCATCTGGACTTTGATTTTGTCCATTTATTTCGGCTACTTGTTTAGTTACAGTTTTGCCGTAAAACTTTGGTTGTTTATTATGCTAAATCATATAACGAGTCACTTACAGAAAAGTTGATTTAATATTCAAATTAAAGTGTCTGCCATATGTGCTTATAATAATCACATATCAATTGTTCCTTTGGCATGGTGAACTCTGTACAGGCAAGCAAGACAGTGTGAGATCAAGAGCGCTCACAGAAGAGCATGCAAGAGACAGCTTTGAGAATCTTCTCTTCAGTGTGTGCCGGTTCCGGGAGCTTACTGGCAAATATCCAAAAAATATAACTGTAAGACCAAGTGTTTTATACATTTTCGCTGCTCTACAACAGTTAAATGACAGAGTTGGTTTATCAAACATGCTATGTGTGTATGAGTTGAAGATTCCTTAGGAGCTTTTTGACTTATAAGTGAAATTTAGGATTCCAATATCAATGTCAAGGTCGTAGTCGATAAAATACATTTGATATTGATAACATTGTTCCTGGAAGTATGTAGGAGACTAATTCTTCTATGCCTGGTGCCTTTATGTTTCAATCTTCCACCAAGCCCTTTAAGCACCTACTCACTGATAACAGTACTTGCTTGTTACATATCATCAGCATCCATCACCTTTCATGCTACTTCATTGTTATTGTGTGAATTTATACCCGTTCCTAGATGTCACTGCTCGTTTTTCTCTCACGTATTATCAAAAGCATATACACTTGATGGCCATCATTCAATTTCCATTAGGCATAAGGGTGGGCATGCGTGCACGTGTGTATATATGCATATGTAACTTAGGGGATTTACCGCTAATTCCTTTGTAAGTTAAAATATATAAACAACAAATGATTGATCATATGTTTTCCCAACTTGTGCTGAAGTCAAGTTTTACCTGTTCCTTTTTTCTTTGTTTTAAATTGAAATTCAGGTTGTGAGTTACGATTTTAAGGAGGAGAGATTTGTTCGTCTGCACCGATCAACAATTGGATTTCCCGAGACAAGGTTCTTGTATTCAGGCACACCTTCCCAAAATTCAAGGGAAGCAGCTTTAAAAGGCGAAGCATTGGTGAGGGCTCAATTTCAAGATGATCCTTATGGTTGTTTAGGTTCACTACGTCGTAAAAAGCTCGGCCGCGATCCTTTTCATCGGTCCATACCTTATCCCAATGGATGTCCTGAAATCGAAGGATTGTTCAGGTATTGTGGGACTGCTCCATACCCAGGCTACCTTCCATGGGCTTAGAAATATTGATTGGAAGCACTCGACGTAAATTAAACAAAAATCTTACTGTTCATTCTAGTCTTGTCCATGTCTACTACTGTACCAAACATGCCCATTAGGCTTACTCAGTGATATATCACACTTAGTGGAAAATAATAAAATGGAGAGGAAATTATATGAGATGTCCACTTTCACATGGTCATTTTAAAAATGTCCAAAATTTGTTCAACGTCAATTTCGCAATATTTTAGATCAAAATATCCTTGTTAACAACGTATAATTCCACATTAAAGACAAAAATGTGCATACAATTAAAAATTTTGTTGATCAATAAAATTTTGATGCATAACGTATCCTACTTTTAAAAGTGCACATGTCAAATCACAATAAATGTTATATTTCTCATTGACATGGATATTGAATATCGAGAATTACATTTCAAATGTCAAGAATTTTATGAAATGTAGAGAACCCTCATGTTCGAAATGAAATCTCGTTACAGACAAATGAAGTATTAAGATAAACATGATTCAAATATCGGTAACAATTTTTAAAATGTAGATAACGTTATTTTAATGTAGCTTCTTATGGAAGCTACTCCTCAAAATTTGTGACAATGTGAAAACAAATTGCTTCATTTTTCATCAAGGGTATAACAGACAATTTAGTATTAAATTTGGTTATTTTTGCAAAAGTTATCAAAATTAAACACTTTTTAATTCAAGAGTATGAAATTAGACATTTTTGTAAATTCCCCTAAAATGGAATACCAAGTCTGCTAGTGTAGAGACTAGATATCTTCACTCTTCTGAGACACTTTCTATTTTTAGCTTAAAATCTAACTAAAAAAGTGTTTGGTGGGGATTAAAATTAGATTTTCAGTAGATTGCGATAGAAGTTTTTGAAATGTATGATTGAAAAGTTGTGGGACCCATGAAAGATTTAGTTAATATTGATTGCTTGACTTTGATTTGGATTAAAATTAGATTTTAATTCGGACCAAATAGGGGCTTGGAATGGCAATTATGGCATTTAAAAAACAGCACTAAATGTACAACAAAAGATTTTTGACTTAATTGCACTTCAATTTATTTTGTGAATGCTTCACGACTATTGGATCCTCGATTTGAAGTCTAAAACTTGATGTTTGTCTCCAATTTGTTGGAAACTCTTTTTTACATACTTATTTTTAAGGATGTCAAAATGACTCGTTGGCTCGGGCTGCCCGTGGCTTGGTCCTAGTTTGACGTCTAAAACTTGATGTTTGTCTCTCATTTTTTGGAAACTCTTTTTTACATACTTATTTTTAGGAATGCCAAAATGACTCGTCGACTCAGGCTGCCCGTGGCTCAATCCGGAAAAAGCCCTTGCCTAGCCTGCTCGTGACTCGGAACCACCAAGTCGAGGCTCGGGCCGAGGCCCCATTGTGAGGCAAAAACTCGAGCCCGAGCCAGCTCTTGTGGCTCTTTGAGCCACACGGACCATTTTCGATCCGGATGAGTTGAGCAGGGCGTGTAAAAAAGAAAAAAAATTTGGAAAACAACTGCTTGCAACGTTGCAAGCAGTTGGAAAAAATATTAGAAAAAAAATTAGAAAATATGAAACATGCAGCTTTCATGAATGTAGAATTATCACAT